TACATATATATATATATATATATGTTTGTGTGTGTGTTTGTTTGTGTGTGTGTGTGTATTTGTTTATGTCTTGTGTGTGTGTGTATTTTGTTTTATGTCTGTCTGTGTGTGTGTGCATGTATGTGTGTGCATGTATGTGTGTGTGTGTGTTTCTGTGTATGATAGCATGGATCATATTCATTCGGTTATGTGATCGTTTGAGTCTAGCGCGTGAATTCATGTGGCATATGACATCTCAGGTACAAAAAACCAGCTTCAACACGTACAACTGCAGCAAGTACGTCGACCAAGAGTTCAGTGAAACTTCATTTTAAACTGACAGGCTGTAATGTCCATTATTGCATTTGGATGAGATGACGGGTTGGTCGAGTGCCTAATGCACAGTATAATGGACGCTACAGCTCACAGTCCGGTCGCAGACTGAGTGCGGCTTTGCGTTACAGATGAACGTACTCTACCCGACCAACTCCAACACTCCGATGTTCGGCTGAGTCATGACAGTGATGTGCCCTCAGTAACAACAACAGCACGTGTGACTGTGGCATGGACATGCACACGTCAAGAGACGCGCAAAGTACCTTGATGATGAAGCAGTCCATTGCCATCGACCATGATCACCTACACCTTGACGTCGGTATTGTTGATGAGTTGAGTATAGGGGTCAGTGACATACGCATGTGTGTGGTGTATTGCTTATCTATGTGAGTTGTCTGAGTATAGGGGTCAATGACGTACGCATGTGTGTGTTGTATTGCTTATCTATGTGAGTTGTCTGAGGATAGGGGTCAGTGACGTACGCATGTGTGTGGTGTATTGCTTATCTATGTGAGTTGTCTGAGTATAGGGGTCAGTGACACACGCATGTGTGTGGTAGGTATATCCTTCGTTTAAGTGAGACTAATAGTGCGTGGTGCACCCATCCATCGGGGTGGTGTGTGTACACCTGCCGTAGTCTTTCGTGCAATGTACTGTGTGGGTGTGATGATCGTTCCTTCTTCATACGTACAATGCGAACCCCTGCGATGCATGGGCAATGGTGATCTGGTGAGACGATGTATTCGGTGGGATTTAACAGAGCGTTTCATACCAGTACAAAGTGTAGTAGAACCTCACTTCGTAAACCATAACGTACCTCTAGAGTACATCAGAAGGAGAAATGGCAAATGTATATGCAGATGCGCACCAAAACGTACATGAAGAAGGATTATAAAAGACACGCTCGGATCAGTGCTTCTCAGTATAAGGATGATGTATGAGGAAGATATATACCAGAGTACCGACCCACACACACAATACCAACCCACACACACACACAGTACCAACCCACCAACACAGTACCAACCCACACACACAGTATCAACCACACACACACACAGTACAACCCACACACACAATACAACCCCCACACACAGTACCAACCCACACACATAGTACCAACCCGCACACACAGTACCAACCCACACACACAGTACCAACCCACACACACAGTACCGACCCACACACACATATCCAACCCACAGTAACCAACCCACACCCACAGTACCAATCCACACACACAGTACAACCCACACACACCTGTGGCACGAGGTCTGGCCTGGTTGTCTTGAGCACATTCACCATATCCACCAAATGCGACACCTCTCTGAAGGCTAAGAAGCCTGCGATGTAGGGCTCGCTAATGTGCACCATAGTGCATTCAGCGTACACTGTCTGCAGTAAGAGACACAGCGAAGATACACGTGTGCATGTGTAGGCATAGACTTAGCAAACAAGCAGAAGAAGTTACACGTGTGCATGTGTAGGTATAGACTCAGCAAACAGGCAGAAGTTACGTGTGTGCATGTGTAGGTATAGACACAGCAAACAGGCAGAAGAAGTTACACGTGTGCATGTGTAGGTATAGACTCAGCAAGCAGGCGTAGAAATTACACGTGTGCATGTGTAGGTATAGACTCAGCAAAGAGGCAGTAGAAGTTACGCGTGTGCTTGTGATTGGTGTGATATCTACTGAGGAACAGGCCCTGTAGAAGATGCCTTAGATAGCTTGCGGTGGTAGCGCGAGTAGTCTGTCGTTGACATATACGCTCCATTGTATAACGAGGTGCACGCTTTGCTTATTAGTGGGATAGCTTGGTTAATAATGAGATAGCTTGGTTAATAATGAGACAGCTTGGTTATTAATGAGATAGCTTGGTTATTAATGAGATAGCTTGGTTATAAATGAGATAGCTTGGTTATTAATGAGATAGCTTGGTTAATAATGGGATAGCTTGGCTATTAATAAGATAGCTTGGTAATTAATGAGATAGCTGCGCTCAAGGCGAGTCCGAGTGGTGGCTAATGAAGGTAAGGAAAGTATAATCATTGGGATGCTTCTGAGTGAGGACTGGATGGATGTGTGTGTAGTGTAAATCAGCATACACACGCTATTGAGAGCAGGCTGTGGAGGGATTAAATGGCCTGTCCGCTCTGTGACTTCAGATAGCCGGATACATATGCGCCGTTCAGTTAGTTAGGCTTGTGTAGACAATCAGGATGTTGGAGAACCCACACCACGAACCAAGGGTAAGGGACGATTGTTTGAGATCATCTAATGAAGCAGACACACTCTGCAGATGCTGAGTATGATACATGCGCCTATACCAGGCGTTTAACTCTTTTCAAGGCACAGATGGTTGATTGTATATATCTTTTGATAGTTCATTATACATATCTATTGCTGTGTGTAGCGAATGTTTTTGAGTATACAAATAAATGGTAAGTTCCGGTCTAGTATGGCCCACTCCTCTTCTCAGACGTTGCAACCCGTGTACACTTTCCGTAGTGGCCGAATGATGCTCATACAAGTATGCGGGACACCTGGACTATATATGTAGTATACGACCACCCTAGAACGCCATAGTACTATAAAGCTGCTCAGCACAGGTACACCACCACCATGTACTCCCCCATGAACTTGTGATGCATATGCACGTGTTTGTGTGAGGAACACACACACACACACACACATATATATATATATATACCGAACGAGTTGGTACCCTAATAAGAGAACAGACATTGCCCGAGGAATAGTGGGGTACAAATGCAACGGTAGCAATCACTCCATACGACATATATTACGGATACATACGCCCGCCGGTATTGAACTACACTGTGATATACACTCTCGCAGGTGAAGCTCTGAGAACAAACAACCTCCGAAAACGAACAACCTCTGAGCACAACGAATCGTAGCACAAACGTGCCACAGCCATGAAAATAGGTGTGTTGTGCATGAATACGTGATTTGTCGCTTTGTTGACTGTGCCGTCTTCGCTAGCCATCCGATGCCTCGTTTCAGGTCAATGCACTAGGGTTTGTGGTCTTTAGGGTTTTAGGGGTTTTAGGGTTTTGGTGTTGTTTATTGCAAGTGCGTGCGTGCGTGTGTGGTTGAGCACATAAGCACACTGCAGTCGTGCGACATAGCAGCACACGCGCATACGTCACCTGCAACGACGGATAGCTCAGCACCACCAGGCACGCACACGCCAAAGTGTCGTTTCCCTTGATGAAACTGATATCCACCCCTCCGATCAGAGTTAGAGCCTCCACTTTTAGAGCCGTCTCTTCCGTTGCAACGTCCGCATCTGCGAGGTCACACATCCACTTGGCTGTGTTTTGGGTCACCAACTGTCTTTTCAGTTCACTCTGCACACTGCGTAAAGGAGTTTGGTATGATAAGCCTAGTGCGTTGATTGATTATGAGTTGTCAAAACACTATTCCAAGACTATGGTTCAAAACAAAAATGTATGCAATGAGTGTAGAAGCCCTTGCAGCACATTGCATACTAAAAATAGACAGCTGACAGGAGAGACGAAACAGTCAACTGTACAGACTACGCACCTGTGAGAAGGTAATCAATTTCTCGCCAACAGGGCACCACTTTTTCAATGGGTCATTTAAACTATGCCACAGGGAAATCTCATGCAGCAATTGCTCGACAACATCATAAAGTTGTTATGTGTGTGTACGTATCTATATATATATATATATATATATATATATATATATAGTNTGTGTGTGTGTGTGTGTGTGTGTGTG